AGATCAGGTAGCATATAGCATGTACATATGCTTGTATTTTTCTTGCTGTATCCTGAATTCTTTATAATTTCCTTTTTTTTAATTTCTTTTCTATCTTAAGGCCTTATGCTTGCATATTTGAACGTATGAAACTTTGATATATTAAGATAGGTTTTATTGGTGTTATTTTTTAATCAAAATTAAAATTTTATCTTAATAATACATATTGATATTTAATGAAATATTTTATTATATATATTATTAAAGTGAAATTTTAAATTGATTAGAGAAAAATACCAACTATATCTATATATGATACTGAATTTAAAAAGACTTGTTTTACAAAATGATATTATATTCTCAAAAATCACATTTTCAAAATATAATCAAGATTCTTAGAAGTGTTTCAAAATATGTGTGGTTAAATTTATACACTTTTAGGGATAAAATGAAAAAAAAATAATAAAAAAAAAGTTAGAATAGAAATTATAATTTAGTTAGATAATAACTTTTTATATTGACATGAAAACATAACTTTTTTTTATCTCTGACATGAGAATCAAAATGACTCAAACCATGATATAATATAATTACTTTTTCAAAAGTAAAAAATACTCAATAATATATTTTTTAAAACTTGTAACAAACATAAAAAATTATATTTTCTGAAACTCATTCTGATCAGTTATGGTTTTTTAATCCGAGAAACAAATAAGTTTGATCCTAGCTAATTGAAATGACAATGAAAAAATGGAACGTGGGAGGCCAAAATAGACAAAGGGTATCCAGATATTATTAGGGCATGAGCAGAAGGAAAAATTGACACCTCTTGCTGAAAGTGATAATTAGATGAGTACACACAAGAAGATGACAAGGCAAGGAAAGAGGAGCGTCTGTTATGTTATGGCTATGAAGTAGCTTTAATTAAAAGTTGGGTAGGGTCCTAATGGGGTAAGCCATTACATTTATATGGCACTAAGATTTTGATAGAGCATGTATGAGTCTGATGGTATTGTCCGGTATATATAAAAGGGTCATGCTTTGAAATTTTCAGCCTTAAAAGCAACCATTATTGAGTATGGGAAAGAAAAAATGAAACAAACACTTGCAGAGGCTCCCATTCCCTATTCATGCAACGTTACCTAAAACAATAATCGTTGCAAGAGACATGAATAGTGGGGCCTTGTAATAAAGGGAAAAAGAAACTCACTAACTTGACCCTTTTTCATTGCATCATCTCAACTTATCTCTGAGCATAACTTTATTATGGAACATGAATAATGAATGAGTTTAACTAAGTTATTGATTTGAATAGTGTTGTTCTCGGTCATTTTAAATAACCTTTTTGTATTTGAGTTTTATAAATATAAAAAATGGTGGTTAGAATAAGATATCTCACTGTAGTGATTAGTCAGGTTCTTCAACATAAATTAATTAATCCTTAGCAAGGTTGATATATACTTTATAAGAATGAATAATAAATGAGGTAAGTTTTATATAGTCTCCTCATTCCAAAGTAACTAAAGTTTTAATATTTGATTTTTTTTTCCTTCTAAATAACTGTTGTTTTCAATTTTTATGTAATATTATTTTTTCCCTAATTTGTCCATGTAAATTACATCCATTTTAATGAATTTTGAGTATTGTGGCTTAATGTATTTATTGAGAGAATAAATCTATTTTAGTAAATATTTATAAAAATGATATTTATTATTGTTCTTATATGTTGATAAAAACTTTAAATTGTACTCCCTTTACTCCATAATTATTGCATTTTTAGCATTTAAAAAATGTCTCAAAAAGAATAATATTCTCCCTTTTCGATGTAATATTTTTCTTTTCAATTTATCTCTTCATAAATTATTCAACCATCAAAATTAAAAGTAATACATTTATTGATAGATTTTATTATTTTAGTAAAATTGTGTAAAAAATATACATTTATTTTATCCTTAATTTATATATAAAGTAGGACCAACAAGTAGTTATTTTGAGATGGGGAATATTGTGTAATTTCTATACTCCATCATCCGATAAAAACAATAAGTATTATAACTATTTAGGTATTTATTGTAAAAGTTAGAAAATTTATTATGCATAATAATTTATAAATAAATAACAATATAACACATCGTCGGTACATTAAATATTTACTTACAGTAAAATGAGTAAATAATATATTCATTAACACCATAAATATCTAATCACAAATTAGTATATATAGTAAGTTTATCGAGTTTTATTATAACTATTTAAATAGTTATATTTTCATAAATAATTATACTTATCACAACTTTTTCATTGAATGACAATTTTATTTTATTTTTACCTGATGATGTATATATAAATATGAAACTCATAAAATATATTGAATTACATAGATAGTACAAATTTCAGGGACGAATTGAGAGGGTTTTGAAATTTTTGTTGTTTTCGGCAATGCAAATTGTTGCTAATTAGTTGAACAATTCTATCTCAAAGTTGTTTGAAGACAAATCTGAATAGGTTGATGATTTCTTCTATGGCAGGGTCCATTTGGGTCACTATCCATCAACTTTTGCCCAATTTTCTTCTTAATTAATGCTAGCTTCTAATAACTCAATAATTCATGTCTCAAGTCTTTACACAAGTTATTCAATTAAAAGACAAAAAAAATGGACAATTTCAAAGAATGGGTTTACCTACACCATTTTGGTTAGTGATGATTATAGGGAATCAAGATATGGTATGTAGTTGGTTAATGGAGAGGCACACACACATATGCCTTGCAATGAAACTTACCATTTCGTACCAATCAAATGATTTTTGTTTGTCCTGAGAAAAGAAAAGGAAGCTAAGGAATGAACTTTTTTTCTTGAGAAATAATAAGCTCTCGAATTAATCCAGAAATAGGGTGCTTTATATCTGAGTGAAATAGGTAACTATATTGTGGAAACAAACGATTCGTGTCCCACGTGGTGTAATTTCCACTATCAATGTTTGGCCAAAAAATTATTCTCTTGTTGAACCACAATAATTCATGCTCACCAAAATTGTTACTATCTCTAAAGACATATTCAAGGGCCACATAATGAATGGCACTGAAATCTGAATGCGAATAGATACAAAACTAAACCAATCATTTTATTTAGCTTCAAGTTTTCAATTTAGAGAGAGACCGTAGAGAATTTACGGAGGAATTTAAAAATTAAATTTTGAATTGAGATTGACACCGGTAACTTAATTGATATTATTTTTTTTTTTATAACTTTAATATTAGTTAAAGTATTCACTTATTGTAAATGATTAATTTTTTAGAAAAATCGGTTACTCATTTTTAATAGGTTTTTTTTTTGGAATATGAGATCCTATTTAAAAAGTTTGAATCTAATTTCACTCGAATCAACGATTTGTTGGTATATTATAAATACTGATATATATTTTTTTTATAAAAAAAATTATACACTAAAAATGGCAAAGAACTCCCGGTAGAAATTCGAAAATAATTAAGTTCAATCAATATTAGCATTTCAATCCTACAAAATTAAATTATAATGGAATAAGTTTGCTGTTTGTGAGAATTTCTTGGACAACCAGTACATTACTTAATTTAAAAGGTTCTCTATTATTGAAAGTTTTTTTTTTTTTTTTTTTTTTTATATTTTATTTTATTTATAATTATACAATATTCTCAAAACTGACAATTAAATATTAATATATACTCGTAAATATGATTTTTACTAATCAAATGTCATGTTAATATTAATGAGAATTGATATAGAAACATTATAATTATATTACTCACTTTAATCCAATTAGGTGTAAATGATCTTACTCCTAATATTACTCAAAATTAACTTTTCAATTAATTGATGACATGTTTTAATCAAACCAGCTAAAAACAATGGGTTGGACTGGATGGATAAGTAAATTAACCAACTTGTTTTTCTTTTTCTTAAAGATTAACTAACTAGCATTTTATATTTTTTTTATATAACTGTTAGATAATGTCTGTATGAATGTATATTTGGATTTTTTGAAATTTAATTTTTTCTTCTTAATTTGGTTTTTAGATTGAACAATCCACTTCCTAAAACTATGAATGTATATTGCAATGTGAGCTCGTTAACTTTGAATTTCTCTATGAAAATAAAACTTGACATTCAAGTGCATAATCTTGCCACACAACGTACTAAGTTGTTGGACGTGGTAAATTGTTGCATGATTATTTACGAATATCATGGCTAAATCCATTTGAACCACCTATACATAATTAGAATTTTTATTAGCCACACAACAAAGACTCAAATAATAGTGAAACCCAACGTCAAAACTATTTTAAGAATCCATTACCCATAGTTCTACAAGCCCATTCATTCAGATACTATCACTAAGACCCTTTTGGTGGATCATTCTACTTGGATATGTAATAGCCCGAATAAAAATGAAATTCTGTTGGGCCACATTTGAGTTACACAAGAAGCTAACCAAACATCTGGTCCAACCCCAAGACTCGATGCATGCACCTCAAAACAATAAACACAACAAAAGTTAACTTAACAACATAACTAACGGTAAGCAGCAAGAATATCTTCAAATAAACTTCTTTATAAACACTTCTAATAAATAAAAAAAGAGAGAAGAAAATTGAAATAAAATCTTCAATAAATTAAAATTAGTTCATACATGAGTTAATTTTTTTTTTGAAAGCTAATAAGAGAGAGAGCTTATTCAAATTAGTTTATGGAGTAACTATTTTTTTAAATCTTTTTTTTTCATATTTTTCTCTCTTCTAGAAATATTTCTTGAAAAATCTATCCAAACATATCCTAAATATAGGAAACAAGCATAAAATGAACATGTATTATTATTATTATTATTAATTATGTGCTCATTCAGAGTTATAAATATCTCATTATATTTCATTAATGTATTAATAGATTGAATTACTGTCTCATTTTCAAGGTCACTCTCATTAATGTATTAATAGATTAAATTATTCTTTTATCTCATTTTCAAGATCACTCTTGCTCACAAGGTGCATGACAAGAAACAGATGTAGAAGTAACACTTAATTTCTCTTATTTAAACAAAGTTTAAACAACACATCATTAGACCATTTTCTCCAAACACCAAAGGTTGGAAAGAAGCAAATTAAAAATCGGTGCTAATTTAATTACTACACCGATCTCTCCCCCCCCACTCTTCTCAATTCACAACCTTGCAATTGAGCCTCACTTCCCCATTTTGGGACACCCCAACATTCCCAAGTTTCAACATGGAAGCCACAAACTCCTTGAAGAACAAACCCTGGTCCTTAGCAAACGCTTCCACAATCCACCTAGTCCTTTGGTCCCCAACAAGTGATTGATCCGATGAGAACAAACCCTTTCCCACCAACAGCTGCCTGTTATTGGATCATCATAAATTAAGCAACCGTTAGTCAAACATTTGAATTGTTTAAGTTGTATATAGTTGTTACTTCCATATCTATGTATAGGTTACATAGTTATCTTTTTCCACGATTATAGCTTAGTCTAAATTTGACACCTCATGCATCCTTAATCCTAAGAACAACTTCATCTCCTTTCTTAATTCTAAAAACAACTTTTATTAACTAATTAAAAATCTTATTTTTAACTTTAAAAAAATATATTTCAATCTTCATTTTTTATTATCTTTTTCTTCTAAAAATAATTCCCAAGAAGTTCATTCAAACATGATCTTTAATTTATCTATAAATGTAATATGTATCTTGTTGAATTAATAACTATCAGTTCCAAACATTTCACATCTTTTCTATACCTGTAATAGTCATTGTCAAACACCGATGCTGTTGAGTCCAAAAAGTGTCCAGCACTGAAGTTTGTGTTAGGTTTTGGACACTTGTTTCTGAGGTCTAGGGCAAACTGGGTGTTCAAAGTAGGGTCAATGTCATGCAGCAAACTGAAGGCACGGATTCTGGATTGGAAAGAGGAGCAGTGTGAGAAGCCAAGAGTGTGGCCACCAGAGAGAGTGACCATGTCTTTAACACCTAAACCTCTCTTTGCAAAACTCTGAATGAGTTGGCTCACGTTCAAGGTTGGTGCTGGTAGGTTTGCTGTTTCTGATGCCTTTGACACCCTTCCATCTTTCCTTCCTTTTAGCACATTCCAATGTGGTCCTCCAGACTGTTAAGATTGATGACAAATGTTGTATTCATCAATGATCATTGTTTGCAACATAGAACAAGTTATTACACCCCCCTTTCAATTTGTTTGACATTAGTACATCATGCATGGAAGAATCATTGTTCAGATATAGAAAATCAAATCTAATAGAATAGAACTTGCATACAATATTACAAGTTTTTTAGTTTTTTTTTGGTATGATGGTCAAAATTGGAGTTTCATTTTAATAATATTAAACTTAATTAAAAAATAAATCATAGTAATATATAATAAATTATTTCATTAAAGAACAACATCAATGAAGGTTGAAGGTTGAGTTTAAATTTTACCAATGCTACAACATCTCTAGCCGCAATGGCGATTATATCAGCACAAGAAACAGTGTGGGGGCAAGCTTTCTCAAGCTTGGTCTTGGCTTCATCAATAACATAGAATGAATGAACAGAGAGATTAGGAGGACCATCTTTCTCAGCTTGATTTGTAGGAGTTGAATCCAACAATATTGATGCATCACAACCCTATCATAATTCACAATTCACCAAAACATTAATCGATTACATCCATTTCAATATTTTCACATGAACTAATAAACATTATAATCAAGTCTGAGTTCCATTCCCTGTGCTTCAGTGAGAGATAATACACACTTTTATTCTATATTTATCGACATTGGATCCATTGGTTTAACTTTCTTTTAAAAAGTGTTTTTTAAATAAAATAAATAGTTTTCTATTATTTTATATATTTATCTAAACTTTTTTTTTTCTTATAATTTTTTTTTGCTTATCTAAAAAGCATAGTCCTATCTATTTCTTGAACAAAAAAAAAAGCTTTTTTGAAAACTATATTTTTAGAAGCACTTTTTAATTTTAAATAAATTGACCATTTTAGACTTTCTCTTCGTTTTTTTTCAAAGCTATTGATATTTTATAAATTCAAAATTTTATTATTTCTTTTGAAAAATATTAATTAGTAACACATTAATTTTTAACACTCTATTATTTATTGAAATATATTAAAAACTACAAAAAAAAGTGAGTATTGATTCTTGTATAATTAGTCTCATTTAATTTATATTTCTATAGTTTTAATGAATTTTAACAGATAATAGAGTCTGCTATTATGTGTAAGAAAGAGTATTTTAGACAATAATGTACTACCACTTTTCTAATTTTTTTTTTGTTAAATAATTTTAACAAAGTAATTGATCACAAATATTGGGATATTATGTAAGGATATATATTTTTAATTCAAATATAATAACTTCAACATGAAAACAAAACTTCTCAAAAAAGAAAAATCAACGCAACAAAAAAATGGAATGAAGTTAATCATTTCATACCCTTATGAAACAGTCATGGAAGAACATCCTCAAGATCCTAGCTGGAACTTTTGGATCAAATTTGGAAGCACTGACTACCGTGTCTGAAATGATCTTCTCTGCTTGTGGACATGTTTTATCATAGTAATGAGAATCAAGCTCTGCTTGTGACATTGATGATGATAATGTCAAGAAGAGGAAAATGATTGGGAAAAGAAAAGTGCATTTTGAATGTGGCACAAGAGCCATTTGGTTGGAAGAGTGAAACAGATATATTGTTGTGGTTGTGGAATACAAAAAGTGAAGAGGATTTGATGAAAACTCTAAGCACGTGTATGGTGTATATATAGCAGAATAGAATAAAAGTTGTTGACACTAACAAATTAAAATACAAGTTTAACATATAATTATTGTGCTTGAAAGCCACTCAATGTTTGAAGATTAGTCTGGAAGTGCCACATTTTGACTTCACTTTTGTTCTGCTTTAAGATCAAGTATATATATTCATCCACCTACACTATATTCACACAAATTATATATTCTAATATTGTTAATTTGGAGTGAATTTAAATTTATAATGCAATGTATTAAAAATCACAATTTCAACTCCAATTTCGGTATTTCATGACTATCATAATTATTTTTTAATATTTTATTTTATTAAAGTTACGTACATCAAGAAGCACCACTTAGGCACTTATGACTTCTTTTTAACGATCGGGGTTAATTTTGTTTAAAAAAATTAAATAAGTAACTTTTTTATATGAAAAAATGGAATAGTTTGTGAAAAAAGACTTGTAAAGTGGAAGTCTCATTTTATACATACTGACTTTTTTTTTTAGTTTTAAAATGGAAGTCCTAATTAATAACACAATTTTTATTTTTTTTTCTAAATGACAGTCTTAAAAAATGACTTCTCTATTATATATATATATATATATATATATATATATATATATGTAT